AATCCGGAGATTTTTTTTTTTTAAATCCAAAGTATAGGAGTGCATGATTTTACTCCTCAAAAGGCAAAACTGTTAAAAAAACAAGGAAACAGTGCAATTACTGTAATAATGAATTTAAATTTAAGTTGAACTGGGATTTTTTTAAACAGATTTAAAAATGTAAAAAAAGATGCACTTCAGCTATGAAGTATTTCTTGGTTTGGTTTCAATGAATGAACTGAGTCTGTATGAGCACAAACACCCTCTCCCCATGGTGGTTTTGGTACAAGGTCTGATTCACTATCAGGGAGCCAGCAGGACGGGTAGAGCAGAGCTGCCGGGAAGTGAATTGAGTTGCGCTGATGCTTTTCCACCGCCAGCGTACCCTGGATAGAAATACAACGGCAGTTCACCTGGAATAAAAAGAGAACTAGGGAGGAGGAAGGGGCCTCTCTAAAACCTGTTTGCCTCGGCCAGGTTTACACACCGCGTGCCATGTGCCTCCCTGGTTTGTGAGGGCTGTAACCGGGTGCACCACGACTCCGGCAAGCATCGGCGCTTGCGGCAGCTTCACCTGCAGACTGGCTACAAGGAGACGTAATGCCTAGAAACTAGCAGGAATGGTCTCTGCCATTTTTTGTACAATGCAACAGCTCCCCCATCTTACAGACGAAAGAACTTAAAATGGAAAAAACATCCCCAGAAAGCGAGCACCAGGGCAACTCCACACGCTCCACCGCTTCTGCGGGATGGAGAGGCTGGTGCTGCGCTAGTGCCGGCAGCGTTTCCTGTTTCCCAGGTGCTCTGGAGAGGGGGATCCTCTCCACACAGCGCGGCACTTGACATTTCAGTGATTAAGGCATTGAATTTCCGTCTTGTAAGGATGAGTAAACATCGCAATTTCCAAATACTTTTTGATGCGGTACAACAGTCTGTCTCAAAGAGGAACATTTATCACCTCTCGCCTCAGAGTTTTAGCATGGCTGCTACAACCTGCAGCCACTCGCACTGTGCTGAGCACTACGCTGCACTGCTGTCAGCTTCCTTTAGGGTGTACACGCAGCACGCTGAACCAATGTTCGGCACTGCTTAGAGAGAGACGGCTGTGTAAAGCACTTCGCTTCTGCCAAGAAGGAGAAAAATTGACTGCTACTGCTAAACCCAGGACAGGAGTGATGCATGCCTAAAGTCACACCTTCAGCCTCCTGCATAGCCATCACCACCTCAGGGGAGAGAGAGTTCTCCTTTCACACCCCAATGACAGTGTTTGGTTTGGCTTGCCCGGTAGTTTGGTGATGAGTCCTGAGGGTGCTGCCTGCATCAGCTGCAGCTCAAAGGATGGCTCTGGTTTATGAGGTGGGGCCCTGGAGGAGATGGGGGGACAAGCACCCTGCTGTGACCACCACAGAGGGCAGGCAGTGGGTTTAGAAGGTGTGGGGAGCCAACTCAGCAAGCGCAGCACCCCACAAGCCAGCTGCAACGAGGTGGCACTATGCCCAGCCTGAGGTCCCTCCTTTGTGCCATAAGGATTGGAAACAGTGCATAAAAGCAGTTTTATGTATTATTTGTACAAAGCACTTTCATCAAGAAGCTCTCATTTCAGCCAAAAGAAAAGGAATGATGAAATCATTTTAACACCTATGAGGGAAGAGAGATTTTAGGTTAAGGCATTACTGGCTCTACCAGGAAAAAGCCATTAATGCTATGCTTGGAGGCTAGAGGAAGTCAAAACTCACAGGAAGTGCTTGTTAAGATAGGGAATGGGTAGGGTGGCTCAGCCCTTGTCCCAGTGGAAGCAAGGGGTCCCCAAGACAGGGCAAGTCCTGAGCAGAGCTACACTGGAGCTCAGCTGTGTAATACTGAGCATCCTCAGCCCTGGGGACCATGGAGGCCAATCTCATATGTGGGGGTATGCTGCCAGGCATGCATGGACTCCCCCAAGACACAAACCTGCCCCTTAGGACACTGAGGTCCTTCCTGAAACAGCCCATCCCTCGCATTGAAGTAGTGTTCAGGCACGGGCACCCCTGTGGCATCACCCCAGATGGCTGCGAGCACCACAGGGAAAGAACCCAGCAGAGGGGCATAAGAGGGAGGTCTCAGGGTAAGATCTGCAACAGCCCAAGTATCACACATTGTCACTTAGGTCTGGGTCCAGGATTCAGTTTGATTTCCATACTCAGACATATCACAGTGTTGACTGCTCCCGTTTGAAAGTTGCTGGGGTTTCACTCTACTTCTAACAAGCCATGGGGCCATCCTTGGCCGTGGGCAAGTGCCCAGTTACAGCAGAACAAAGAGCTTCCACGACAGGAGCACCACCCATTGAGCACCTGAAAGCAAGTCACCACATAACCATGGGTCCATTCTCATCATCATCACTGTGCTCCCAGGAAGGGACACACAATATCCTGCAGCTGCAGTGTCTTGCTTTCTGAAGCAGATCACAGCCAAGAGCATCCTTTGGGCTTCCCTTTTAAACACAGACCCCAGCATCTGCAGTGCTGCTGCCATGGAACAGCACCCACAAGGCAGCCTGACAAAGAGGCCAAGGGAGTGGGCAATGGCTGGAAGAGTTGTGGCAAGTGCATCAGATCACCACAGACACATCCAGTGACCTGGCAGACTGGCTATCCATCCAACCCACCTGGACATGAACCTCGCCAGCACATTCCCAGTTCCCCATGCTCTCAGAGACTCCAGGAAGGAACAGTTTTTCCACTGGATATGTTAAGGCAGTGGTGCCATTTCAGTCTCACACTCAATGCAGATTTCAGGCTGGCAAGGAAGCTGCAGCAGCCCTTGCTCAGACCACTGAGGCCAGAGTGCAAGCATGTCACTAAAGCTGTCAGCAAGGATGTGGTCTGGGACTGTGCTGTAATGGTACCACGTCAGAGTGGTCCTGAACCAGTCCTCATGGTGTGTGGTGCTCAGCACAAGCACAAGCTTATACCGAGTTCCCACTGGGCTTTTTCATCTTCTTTTTGCCAGGGAAGCCATACCCAGATGCTCGCTTCCTTTCCCAGTGCCAGCTGCACAGGTGGTACCACCATCATGCCAGCTATTCTGCTCCTGGGGCAGAGGAGAACTGACAGCAGCAATGGCTCCAACATGAAGCCCAAGAAGACCGCCTGATCTGGTAGCCATCAGCCAAGATAACAGATGTTACACCACAGAGCATCTTCCCTCTCTGCTCTCTCCAGAGCAGATCACACTGTGAAAGCTGAATCAGGGCTGAGCACAAGACTGTCTCCAGCTCCAAAGGACAACTGTGCTAGAACTGTCAGGGAGTGTACCTGCAGAGCCAACCTTGGCAAAATCCACTTTCTGACAGCAGTTTTCCCTCAAGGGAGTAGAAGATCTGGACTCATCCTCTCCCACCAGCACTTGAGCCTCTCTGCCTCTATACAACCTCAAACAGCTCCATGAAATAGCACCTGGGACTTGGAGGTAAATACCAACCTCTGAGAGCCAGCCCAGCTGCCAGCCCTGGTCAGCTTCAGAGGCTGCCAGAAGGGCAGAGGCTGACTGCTGCTGTGGGAGGTGCATTCCTCCCTAGACCAGGGTCACACACTGCTGTGGAGACCACAGAAACAAACTCCCTTTCCACTTCAGAGTTTGCAAGAAGAGTTTTCTCAGGCTGCATGGGCAGACCTGAGCCTGGGAGTACTGCTGCGTTCCCCTTCCTCACCCACACCGCATGCTGCATCGAAGGCACGAAAGTCTTTTGCGCTGCGTCAGTAGAGAGACGTGGGTTACTGTTACTGAACCCTTCCTCTTCTGGGACGGGGCTCTCCCTATGTTCAACCCCAGCAAAATGCCAATGTGTCCCAGCAGCACTGCTTCCGTTGCTTCTAAGCACATCAAGCAGTCAATGAGTTCTCCACTGCTCCGTGCAGCTGTGACTGCCCTGTGTGCTGGCCATGTGCAGACAGCATCCTGAGTGCCTAGGCTGGACGAGCCAAAAAGAGCCGGGCAGCCACGAACGAGCAGGCAGGGTCCCAGCAGGAGGGTGAGGAGTTGGGCCTGTTGCCCAGTGGGCACAGGGTTCCCTGCCCATGCCTCCCTCCAATTTCAGGGTCACAGCCGCCGATGAGGTTCATTAGCTCCTCTTAAAGGCTCCACTGGCAGCTCTCATTGCTCTGCTTCGGGTCTTGCAACATCACCGACATTTTCTCACAAAAGAGCATCAGAGAAAGGTGTCAGTATTTCGTAGCGTGAAATGCACTCTTCTCCCCGTTAGAGCCCCGGAGACGGATAACGATCTCTAAATCCCTAAAAGCTCTCAAATTTATTGACCCCAAACCTAACCCAGCCTTTCCTTTTCCTGCCAGGGTCATCCCCTCCTACAAGTCAGGTATCGCAGCCCACGGCCTCACACCGGCGCTCCGCGGCCGGGCCGGGCACAGGCAGGGGCAGGCTGTCGCCGGCCTCCCGGAGGGTGCGCAGGAGCCGATCCACCATGCAGGTCAGAAGCGTCGTCTCTCACCCTCGCGTCTCCGCTTCAGCGCCGCGGGCTAATGCTGCCAGTGCGTTTCCCGGAGAAATGACCAGGTCAAAACCGGGCGCACTTCCCCTCGGGCCCGCAACCGCCTCCCTGCCCCGGGGACTCCCGCGAAGGGGCTGTCCCAGCCGCGCTCGGTCCCCGCCACCGCAGCTGGTGTGTGGCGGAGCAGGCGTGACCGTGTCCGTGCCGGTACCCGCTGCCCGGTCGCTGCGAGGCGGGGGGCGGCCGGCGGCACGTCTGCGCGGCGGCCGGGCGGCTGCGGCTCATCCGTGCGTACGGCGGGGCGGGGAGGCGCCCGGTTCCTCCAGCCCGCCCCGGCGCGGCGCGGGGGAGGCGGTGGCTGCCTCCATGCTGCAGCGAGCGGCGCGGCTGCCCGGGGCCGGGCGGCGGGCAGAGGCACGGAGGATGGGCGCAGCAGCCGCGGCGGAGGGGCGAGCCGCGGGCGCCGAGCACCCCGCCCTGCCCCGTCGCAGCGCCCGGCGCCGCGGCTGCTCCGCCTGAGCGCGCCCGGAGCGGAGCGGCGCGGAGCCCGCATGGCCCTGCCGCCGGCCGCCCCTGCGGGCTGCGCGGCCGCTCCGCTGTAGCAACCCCTTCGGGAAGGCGCCGGCCCGGCGGCGGGGCTGGCCGCGGCCGCGCTCCTCTCCACCCCGGCCCCGTCCGTCTGTCCGGCCGCCAGTCCCTCCGTCCGTCCAGCGGCAGCGCCCAGGATTACGCAGCTGGGCGCGGAGCGGCAGCGCTTGGCGAGGATCAACCTGGCGCAGGTACACGGCAAGGTCACCGGCCGGCGGGCGCGGAGCGGGGCTGCCCGCGGCGGGGCTATGCGAGCGGGCTCGGCGGGCTGCGCCGCTGCGTGCCCCGCGCCGTCCCCCCGCCTCCCGCCCGCCGCCCGTGCGTGTGTGCATGTGCGCTGCCCGCCGCCGCCCGCCGCCGGAGCCGCGCCGCCGCGCCGCATGGGGCCGTCCGCGCGGGCTGCCCTGCCCGCCCCGGCCGCGGGCCGCCGCGAAGCCGCTCTAGGATGCGGCTGGTGAGCGCCGGCACAGGGCGGAGAGGCGGCCGGCCTGCCTGCCGCCAGACCCCGGAGCCCGCCGGAGCCCGGCCGCACCTGCAGGGGAAGCACTCCGGACGCCGTCCTTCCCCGGGAGGCGCCAGGTAATCGCGGCGGGCGGCCGTGCCGGCTCCATCTGCATTGCAGCCCGCGGTGCTTATTCACGGGGGACGGGGAGAGGGGAGGCCGGGGGGGGGGGGGGCCGCAGCGGCGGTGTCCCGCGCCGGGCAAGGCGAGCCCCGCAGCACGGCGGGCGGCACCGGGACGGAGCTGGGGAGGATGATGGTGGCGGCGGGACGCTCCTCCCGGGAGGGCGGTGGCCGAGGGGCGCGGAGCGGCGCGGAGGCTGTGCGGCTGGGCGGGCGCCCCGCGGACGGGCCGCGCTGCCGCCGCTGCCCGCGGGACGGCGCCGGCGGCCGAGGCTGCTGCGGGGCCGCCTGTGCCTCGCGGCCGCCGCCCGCTCCGCGCCACTGCGCGGTGCTGCCGCCGCCCGGGGAGAGCCGGTGCAGCCGCGGGCGCGCAGCCTCCGCCCGCGCGGTGCCGCGGGAGGGCTGCGGCGGGGAGAGGCGCGGCGGTCGCTGCCCGTGCCCGGGCGGAGGATCCGCGGGGCTGCCGCCGTGAGCGGAGCCACCCTTGGGCGCTGCCGCCAGCGCCGAGGTCGCGGGAGGCTGGGCGCCTCCGGCCGCGGGGAGTGCAGATACCCCCGGTGGGGAGCGGGAGGTCCGCGGATCCCCGCCGTCCTCCTCGCAGCGGTCGCTGTCCTCCCGAGGGCCGCCCGGTCCTGCAGTCCTCTCCCCGCACACACCTCTGCCGTTGCTGCTCTGTCCTGGGGGCTGCCGCTGGTCCCCAGCATCGCGGGATAGGTGCGTGCTGTTTCCCTTCCCCTCGCCTCCATCCTCCGTGTAGCTAACAATTCTCATATGCAGGAAAGCAAATGTAGGACAAGATAAACCTTTTCATTCCTGCCGGAAGGTTCCCATTAGAGGAGATGGCAGAGCAGTTGTAGAGCCAGCAGAAACCTCGCAGCCATGTTGATGTCAGGAGCATACAAAGGTCCTGGTTCTTGGAGCAGATGGGGCCGAGCAGAAGCTGGTGGAAGGGAGTGTGTGTGGGCACAGGCCTGGTTCAGGGCCATCACACCTTGGAAGACATGGCATGGCTAGGCTGGAAGCACTTATGAAAGCCCCTTCTAATGCTGTTGCCTGCCAGCACAGGCAGGGAGGCACAGGGTCTGCAGCCCTGGGATCTGCCATCAGTGTTTACCTGAGCACTGCCCTTTCTGTCTGTGGCACTGAGCAGCAGTGTTCCCCCTCCTGCACCTTTGCCTTCTCCCTCTCACCTGGTCCATCATGCCTCTGGGGCAGGGACTGTTTCTCATGGTGGTGTGTGCCTAGAGCAGAAGGATGTTGTGGTTTCAGTTGTGGATATGAACCTCACCAGTCCCCCAGCTGGGAGGGGAAGCTGGTTGCCCCCAGCTAAGCCCAACCCTTTACAGCCTCCAGCTGACCCTCATGGAACGGGGTGGGCCAGGGGTCCCTGTGCCTGGTCACTGTGCTGTGATAGCAGTCTCCCACCCTTCCCACCCATGCTTACATTTTCTTGTTTCCAGATCAGTGTGGTGTCAGTTCTTCTGAGCATCCTTGGTTGAATGCTGGCATGTGTAGGCCAGCTTGGGTCAGTGCAGCCAGACAACAAACTGGTGTGATGAGATGGATCCATCCCAGGTCTTTAGGGTTTTCTTGGTTACCCCTGCATGTCTACGGGTCGTGCATGGAAGGGCCCTGGCCAGCTTTGGCAGCACCAGTCCTGCCCATGGATGTGTCCAGGTGTGGAGATGCCCAAATGGACTGCGTGTACTGGGACCGGTACCACCACAGTATGGTGGAGCCATGTCCAGCACACTTGAGCTGTTCTGGCCCTGAGTACTCGGGGCTGTGTGATCCTTGTGCTGCCTCAGGGATGCTGGCTGAACTCCCCACATGATGTGGGCTATGTACAGGCTCTGCCTTGGTGTTAGCTCTAGGCTCTATGATGCTGCTGTGGTCTGTCCTGGCAGATGGAGGTCTGCCACTGCTGATCCAGGAGTCAGGTTTGATTCTTCATGAAGAGCCATACCAGAGCCTGAGTGTTCTCAGTGCCCAAACACCTTCCCGATCTATGCTTCTAAATATATACTGTACTCAAGGGATTATGCATTTGTTTAAATGCATAATAAATGCGTTAAAATGAGTAAGACTCTATCAGAATGCATACCAAAGCTTGCCAGTTAGGCCTCAAGTCACAAGCCTAACTAAGAAGCTTCTCCTGGCGTTATTAGCTTGCCTGTTTTCAGAAAGAGCAATTGCTGAGTTTATCATGGCAGTGCAAGTCAGTGGAAGTAAACCCTGGGTGTTTCAGGTGCCTAGTATAAGTTCAGAGCACCAGTTCACCAAAGTACATGCAGCTGCAGGAGTGGACCCCAGATTGTCCTGCTTCAGTGAGGGCTGGTGGGCCAGGTTCCCTTGTCTTGCTGGTGACCAGGAGGAGGTCTGGGCTCTAGGGTGCCACACTGCTTGGGATGGTTTCCCTCGGGCTTAGCTGGAATTTTTTGTGTAGCTCTTGTTGTCTGGAGAGGCTGCTGTTTGCCGCTAAAGGTACAAACGGTGATGGGCTGCGGTCACAAGATAGGATGAGAAAGGTGAGGGGTGGCTGGTGGAGAAGCAGTGTTGGGAGAGCAGCATGGCAAGAGGGAGCCAGATCTTCCCCAGACGGACCCCCTGTGGGCTCCTACCACTGCAGCGGTGGGGTGTGGGGTTTATCCCCTGAGCTGAGGAGAGGGGCAAAGGCAGGTTTGCTGGGAGGGACAGGCAAGGGGGAGCGTCTTGGAAGGATATAGCACCCCAAGTTGCCTGGAAGGCTTGTCAACTGCTGGGGCACGTGGAGATGTTTCAGATGCCAGAGAGCTAATGGCTTTCCATTGCTGATCAATATTGCCTATGCTTTCAGATGTGGTAACAGGTTCAGTTTTAAAGAGCAATCTTTCGAATATTCTCTGAGCAAGCAATGAGGCCAGAAAATCGTTCTAATAGCTTTGTTATTAACAGGCCTGCAGAACTTGAGCCAAACAGAAAGGGCTTAGGCTTGTCTAAGTGCTATTGAAGCATTTTGGGCCAGGCATATTCCATGCATTAGGAAAGATTTGTACTCCTTTGACCAGACATCGCTGAGTGTTGTCTATTTATACACGTCTAAATATATCCTCTGCAGTCTTCAGACTTTTCTAGCTAGTAGTAAAATTACAGTTCGATATCATGCTATTAAAATGTGCTTGCTGACACTATTTGATGAGTTTTATGCTAAGAGGTGTGTGTGTCAAATAAAAACTATTCTTGAGGTAATTGCCTAAAATATAAAAGTATGTTATCGATGTAGAGGGATAGCAGAAGGAAATGTGGTTGGACAGAGACAATACTGGAGACATGCTCAAGCCTGGAAAGCCAAATCCAAACCGATGTACTGTTGTTTAAGAGTGAACCATTCTTTCTAGAAATACGTATCAAATAATCATGCACTTTGCAACAAAACAGAAACATTTGCTTCTCATTACTCAGATATGCCTTCTGGTACCCCGAAGTCTGAGGCATCGTTTTGAAAACAAAATGACAGATCTTGAAGGAGTAACTTCTCATTTGCTAGGGCATGTGGCAGGTAGGGGACCCATGGGTGCCCCTGCTGCATGGTCCCATCCCATTGGCGCTCTGATGAAAACAGGGAGGAGTTCAGAGGGAAGGAAGAAGGATCCTCCTTTGTGGATGAGCTCAGTGGTCCGTTCCCACAGAGCTGTGGTGGCTGCAACCCAGAATCCATGGTTCCAGGCAGCCTGCAGTGTGTGGCACCCCACCACAGTGGCATGGCATGGAACTGCTGGCAGAGCTGGACGGAACATACGGTCTCAGTGTGTGCTGGGGTGGAGAGGGATGGTGATGGCTGTCCAGGTTGTGTTCTGGAAATGGTGTTAAAGACCCAGGGGTGAAAGACAGTGCCCTAATTCCAGGCTATCCCAAGTATTCCCACATATCCCTGCTGCAGATGGGTGAGTCTGTGTCCATGTACGCATTTCTGTGGAGCTAGTGAAAGTCTTGTCGGGCTCCTGAGGAGGGATGTGTTCCTAAGTAACAAACAGGATCGGTCATTGCATTGTGGTGATGATGGTAATGGCTGTCTGACTGGCCTGCAGCCTGTCATGAAATAATTTTTTGGTGACAGCTCCCACTGATGGTTCTTGGAGAGCTAAGAGAGGCTGCAGAGGAAGGGAGAGGGATTGGTGTTCATGGGGGAGGAGATGGGGTGAGGAGAAGGTGAAGGCAGGGCTCTTGGAGGAGATCTTGGCCCAGAGCTCCTTAAGTCAGGTTGCTGCATGCCCCGGGTAACTCAAAGATGGGCGCTGTGCCTCTGGGCTAATGCTGGCCCCTTAGTCTGGGCTCTGTGAAATGGTGTGGTGCCAGGAGCCATGCTCTGCCAAGGACCAGCGAGCATAGATTGACATGGCAGCTGCTTTAACTGCCAGATTGTCCCATTGTTTAGACAGTGGGTAATGTCTGAAGGCTCCTTGCCTGTGTGCCTCTGTCCTGGCTTGCCCACTGTCCCCTGCTCTGGAGAGGCTGGCTGGGGTGCATGTTGGGCGTGCTATGCCTGTAGCCTCAACTGGGCAGCAGCTCTCGTATTCCCATGGAATAA